TCCCTCCCCTTCCCCTCAGATAACACCACCAGCTGTTCAGGACACAGCTGTGCTTTCTCTTGGGAAGGGGAGAAAAGGACCGCTTGGCCCTGGGTGAGTTCAAAGCAGACCTGTGAAGTGAGGGGGCTGGAGCAGGGCTGGGGGAGGAGGTGAGAAGTCAGCAAGGGGCAGAGAAAGACAGCCTGCACTTTGATGTCCCCCACCCAGAGCCTGGGGCAAGGTCTGGGCAGGCCCTTGCAGACTTGGAGGCTTTGGGCTTTCTCTCTCACCCCAAGCCCTTAGAGAGATCCAATTAAGCACCCTTTCCTGTCCCTCCAAGGAGGAGGCTTATCCAGTCCCTGACCCCAGTACACACAGGCTCGCGAAAGCATGCATGTACCCAGTGCACACTCGTACCCCACAGCACACGCAAGCCCTGCCCGTGAGTGAACACACACACACACACACAGAATCACGGGCGTGGGGCCAAGCCAGTCTCGCTTTCTAGGCCAGGAACAAACCCAGGGCTGGGGTGGGTGAAGGCTATTGAATCACTGACTCCAGAGGTCCCCCAGCAGTCTGGGCTCTCCTCAAAGGGACCCACAGCAGGCCTGGGGTGCTGTTCTGCCAGGAGCTGACCATGCCAGGCTCCTCACAATACCCTGAGGAAATCGCCCGGGAGAGAGCGAAGTCCCCAGGGAAACCAGTCAGCCTGTCCAGGGCAGGCCAGCCCGGGGGCCACTGGCCAACAGCCCTGCCCTAGCTGCTGGCTTGCCAGATGGCTCAGGGCCGATAATTCTGGATCAATGTAGCAAAAGAGGTGCCCTTGTGAAGTCAGGAGCTCGGTCCTGGAGTGAAGACCAGCCTTTCCCGTCTTTTCCTGAGTGCGTTCCTACCGCTTTAATTCAACAGGCATTTACCAGGCTCCAGCTTGGTGGTGGTTGGGGGCGGTGGGGGGGGGTGGTTACCGAAATGAAAACAGGTGTCTGCCCAGGTGTGCTCCGTCTGGTGAGGAATTCCTTCGGAGCCCTGGGGGCACATAGATCAAGCTTCAGCTACGGGTCCTCTTTACTAAACTTCCATCCTCTGTGTTGGATGGACAGGGATCCTGGGTGCCAGGCTGGGTGAGGAGTAAGGATGGCTGATTCTGCTCATTTCAGGCTGCCATTGCTGGGGCCACATGGGCCACCTGGTTCCAGCTGGCTTTGGGCCAGAGGTCAGATCTTACCTGCACCTCACCCAGTCCGGCCCTAATCAGTAGGGCCGGACTCCCAGTCTTGGCCCCCAGTTCCCTCCCATTTCAACTAGTCTGGTTTCTCTGGTGAGATTAACCGCTCCTTCTCCCCTCAGAGGCAGAGAGCCTGGCAGCCAGAGGACTAAAGAGATGGGCCCGTAGCCTCTCCCACGGGGTCTCTATCTGGCTCAGGACCCAAGTAGGAACAGCTGCGGGGAGAGACCTGATTTTGGGAACACTGCAAGCTCACTGGCTCTCCTTCTACGTTCCTAGCTGCAAAGGGCCCTGGTGCCTACATCTTTCTGGGAGAACCAGAGAAGATCTGGATTACCTGTGGGTCTTGCACTTGGCCTTTATCCTGGAAGGTTCTGAGCAGTCAATTTAATTCAATTCAATTCATAACAGCTGCTATCAGTTATGACCTGACCCGAGCCAAACTGGTTCCTGCACACCTCTCAGGTCCCTTTTTTTTTTATTCTTATGTTAATCCCCATACATTACATCATTAGTTTTAGATGAAGTGTTCCATGATTCATTGTTTGTGCATAACACCCAGTGCTCCATGCAGAATGTGCCCTCCTCAATACCCATCACCAGGCCAACCCATCCTCCCACCCCCTCCCCTCTAGAACCCTCAGTTTGTTTTTCAGAGTCCATCGTCTCTCATGGTTCGTCTCCCCCTTCGATTTCCCCCGCTTCATTCCTCCCCTCCCGCTACCTTCTTCTTCTTCTTCTTTTTTTTTTTTTCTTAACATATATTGCATTATTTGTTTCAGAGGTACAGATCCTCTCAGGTCCCTTTTGACAGGTCAAGGTTGAGGCAATCTGACACGGTTGAACGTTAACCATTTTCACCCAAGCTCACTGTCAGATTAATGAAAGCCCCTCTGCACCTGCATAGACTTCTATTAGAGACACGCGAGGGAGCAAGCAGGCCCCAAACAGTTCCTGCCCTGTGTACTAGGAGGTCGATGAAGCTCCTGTTCTGGGTCCTACTGGGTGTCCTGACCACCATTTTGCAGGCTGCCAAGATTCCAGAGGCTGGGTCCTGTCAGCTTTCCTGGGCCTCAGGTGACCGGGAATCCTCTTTGGGAATGGCCACCCACAGGGCAGTTTCTGGATCAAGTTGTGGTGCCGACCCTTAGGGTACAGACTATTGCCTGGCCTGGGTTCTCATAACCTGTTCACTCAGGGGAGTGGGAGAGTGGGGAGGATCTCAAGTATTTTAGTCAATCTTTTTTTTTATTAGTTTTATTTTATTATGTTATGTTAGTCACCATACAGTACATCATTAGTTCTTGATGTAGTGTTCCATGATTCATTGTTGCGTATAACACCCAGTGCTCCATGTAGTAATGCCCTCTTTAATACCCATCACCAGGCTAACCCAACTCCCCACCCCCCTCCCCTCTAGAACCCTCAGTTTGTTTCTCAGAGTCCATAGTCTCTCATGGTTCGTCTCCCCCTCTGATATCTCCCCCTTCAATTTTCCCTTCCTACTATCTTCTTTTTTTTTTTTTTAACATATAATGAATGTATTATTTGTTTTGGGGGTACAGGTCTGTGATTCATCAGTCTTACACAATTCACAGTGCTCACCATAGCCACATACCCTCCCCAGTGTCCATCACCCAGCACCAGCCATCCTTCTCACCCCCCACCACTCCAGCAACCCTCAGTTTGTTTCCTGAGATTAAGAGTCTCTTATGGTTTGTCTCCCTCTCCGGTTTCATCTTGTTTCATTTTTCCCTCCCTTCCCCTATGATTCTCTGTCTTGTTTCTCAAATTCCTCATATCAGTGAGATCATATGATACTTGTCTTTCCCTGATTGACTTATTTCGCTTAGCATAATACCCTCTAGTTCTATCCACGTTGTTGCAAATGGCAAGATTTCATTTTTTGATGGCTATATAATATTCCATTGTGTGTGTGTATCACATCTTTTTTTTTTTTTTTTTTAAGATTTTACTTATTTATTTGACAGAGAGATAGAGAGAGAGCCAAGTAGGCAGAGAGGCAGGCAGAGGGAGAGGGAGAAGCAGGCTCTCTGCTGAGCAGGGAGACCGATGCGCGGCTCGATCCCAGGACTCTGGGATCATGACCTGAGCCGAAGGCAGATGCTTAACCTACTGAGCCACCCAGGTGCCCCAATATACCACATCTTCTTTATCTATTCATCTGTTGATGGACATCTAGGCTCTTTCCATAGTTTGGCTACTGTGGACATTGTTGCTATAAACATTGGGATGCATGTACTCCTTCGGATCATTTCATCAATCTTTTAAAAATTTTACTCAAGAGAGCTTATTTTAGAGTAAATTACAGGTATCCTAGTGCTATCCTACATTTCTATAATGCTCAGCAGATGACAAACCCCTAATCTAAAAGGGTTGGGGTTTTCTTTTTCTTTTCTTTCTTTTTTTTGGGGAGGGGAACTTAGAGGGTGTGTCCATGTGCTCAAGCCTTGGTTCGAATTCTGGCTCTGACTATTACTAGCTGAGTGACCTTGGCCAAATTACTTCACTTCCCCATGACTTCGTGCCTTCGCTTCCTTATCCGTAAGTGGAGATTAGTAAGAGTGCCTACTTCCTAAAGTTGTTGTGCCAATTAAAAGGGATAATAAGTGCATATAAAATGTTGAACACTCTTAACCAGGTCCTTGTGGGTATTTGAGTTTGGGGACCCTGCTTTAAGATCCCTGCAGAAGGTTTTCTGACCAACCCTCCTTTGAGATGAGGGATTCTGGTTTTATAAGCCCTTTGCTTTGGATGGGGCCATGACTTGTGTCCTGATTTTGTCCCATCTTATTATCCCTGCCCAACCTTAGATGGACTGCTCCACTCTTGGCGGGTATATTTAAAAATCATGTCTTGTGCATCCTTCTCTCTTTCCTGCCCAGCACTCCTGGAAGGATGACCAGACAGGACAAAGTGGGTTTGTGTGGGACTGTGCCCACAGCAGCCCCCCAGGGCCGCCCCTTTCTCTGCCTCCCCCCTGGCTGCATGGTCTTCTAGAGACATGGTCCCCAAAGACTGAAATGCGCCTAGGTTCTTAGCGCATATGGCCCGTTCTTTTCACTTGCTCCCCAGTTCATCCATCCCTTTACTCAATCATTTAGTGATCACCTACTATCTGGCAAGCACCTACTATTTGGCAAGCTTGGAGAAGAAGAAAAGCAAACAACAGAACTGTAAAGAGATTCATCCTGTGACTTTGAGCAAAACATTTGCCTCGCTAAGCCTCAGTTTTCTCACAGATTTAATGACTTGATTTAGTGACTTTTGTCTGGGGTTTCTTTCTCCTGGGACTTTGTCCTCAACCCTCTAAAACTTCCTAGGCCATCTGCAAACTGCAGTCTGCCAACCGCTTATGGATTCTAGAGAAATCCCCTTAACCGTGCCTGTAAACCATAAAAGTTCCCAGAGAGAGGGTCAAAGTGGAGGAGTAAAGGAGGATGACTATGAAGGGTAGAGTGAAGTCTGGTCTGGGGGCGGGGCTGGGAGGGCAGGAGGGGAGGCTGGGGGCCAGACCCAAGGGGCCAGACCAGCCTGCCAGGAGGGCTTGCCAGGTGCTCAGAGCATCCTGCGAAATCTCACACCCTCCTTGCCCCCCACCCATCCGGGCTCCAGCTCAGGCTGGATTTCAATCTGCATAATTTGCCCCATTTAGAGGGGATGGGAGGGGGTGAGAGTGAGAGGGTGGGGAGGGCTGGGGAGGGGGTGGGTGGTAGCCAGAGGGTGAAGGCGGGGCTAGGAGGAGAGCAGGCTGCTGCAAACCCCAGATAATATTCTGTCCAGCACGGCAGGACTCAATTTGGTCCACTTGCCAGGGGAGAAGAAGGAGAAAAAAAAAAAAAAGTGGGCTGTAACTTAAAGATCTTAAGACTCCCAAGTGAGGGGTTGGTCTGGAGGTGGGAGGAGGGAGTGACCAGACAAGGAGGAGACAGAGACTCAGGAGGGCGCAAGGAAGTGTCTTAGCTGAGGCCAGGACAAGGCAGGAGAGGGTGGAGGGAAGTCTGCGGGAGCGGGCATCCTCCAGGATCGGAGGCACCTCCACCCGCTTGCTGGGAAGGGCTCTGGACACCCTCAGCCCTTCTCGCCTGCCCTGTGAGGCTCAAGCCAGAAGCTCCGGGCACTTGCTGAGTTGGCGCCACAGCCACGGAGCTGGTACCCCGGGAACCCCCTGCCCGTCTTCTCTCCGCTGCCCAGCATGGAGGAGGCTGGCGATTTCGACAACTACTATGGGGCAGACAACCAGTCTGAGTGCGAGTACACGGACTGGAAGTCCTCGGGGGCCCTCATCCCTGCCATCTACTTGCTGGTCTTCCTCCTGGGCACCACGGGCAATGGCCTGGTGCTCTGGACCGTGTTTCGCAGCAGCCGCGAGAAGAGACGCTCAGCTGACATCTTCATCGCCAGCCTGGCTGTGGCTGACCTGACTTTCGTGGTGACCCTGCCGCTGTGGGCCACCTACACGTACCGGGACTACGACTGGCCCTTCGGCACCTTTGCCTGCAAGCTCAGCAGCTACGTTATCTTCGTCAACATGTACGCCAGCGTCTTCTGCCTCACCGGGCTCAGCTTCGACCGCTACCTGGCCATCGTGAGGCCCGTGGCCAACGCTCGGCTGAGGCTGCGGGTCAGCGGGGCCGTGGCCACGGCGGTCCTGTGGGTGCTGGCCGCCCTCCTGGCCATGCCGGTCATGGTGTTCCGCTCCACCGCGGACCTGGAGAACACCACCAAGGTGCAGTGCTACATGGACTACTCCATGGTGGCCACCTCCAGCTCGGAGTGGGCCTGGGAGGTGGGCCTGGGGGTCTCGTCCACCGCCGTGGGCTTCGTGGTGCCCTTCACCATCATGCTGACCTGCTACTTCTTCATCGCCCAGACCATCGCCGGCCACTTCCGCAAGGAGCGCATCGAGGGCCTGCGGAAGCGGCGCCGGCTGCTCAGCATCATCGTGGTGCTGGTGGTGACCTTCGCGCTCTGCTGGATGCCCTACCACTTGGTGAAGACGCTCTACATGCTGGGCAGCCTGCTGCACTGGCCCTGCGACTTCGACATCTTCCTCATGAACGTCTTCCCCTACTGCACCTGCATCAGCTACGTCAACAGCTGCCTCAACCCCTTCCTCTACGCCTTCTTCGACCCCCGCTTCCGCCAGGCCTGCACCTCCATGCTCTGCTGCGGCCGGAGCAGGTGCGGGGGCGCCTCCCACAGCAGCAGCGGGGAGAAGTCGGCCAGCTACTCTTCCGGCCACAGCCAGGGGCCCGGCCCCAACTCCGGGAAGGCTGGAGAGCAGATGCACGAGAAGTCCATCCCCTACAGCCAAGAGACCCTAGTGGTTGATTAGGGCTGGGGTCAGAGAGGAGTCCGGTGTCCTCTGCCCTGCCCCGGCCTTTGCCCTCGCTCTCTGGAAGTCAGGTAGCATGATAGCACCTTCTCCCTTGCGCTTGACCCTTTTCCCTGCTCCCTGCCTCCCTGCCCCCTCTTGTCCTCCTTCCTCCTTGAGTCTTGTTCAGAGGTTTGTGGTTTAGTGGAAGGAGACTGAGGCCTGCAGACTCCTGCTCAGCCACTCGGTATCTGTGAGACGGACCTTGCACGAGTCTCTTAACCTCTCTGAGCCTCAGTTTCCCCATTTGTATAAAGCGGAAAGTCAGCCTGGCTCAACTGAAGTGTGTTGCCCCCAAATCCTTTTCTTGGATATCCAGCTTTTTCTTTGCCCTCCTTTCTTCCTAATGTTCTCCCCCTTCTCCCTGCTCCTGCTTTCCCCTCTAGCTGCACTTTCCACTCCGAATCCTCACCTGCTGGCTCCGACCCCCCTCTCCTACAGCACACTCCCTCCCTCAATCCCTCCTTCCTCCCCTTTTCTCCTCTGTGTTCTGCAGGGCTCCTAAGGGTTAAGAATCCTGTGCTTGCACTCAGGGCCCCTGCTCTAGGTCTCTGGGGCTCCCTGACAGCCCGGCAGGGACTGGTGTCAGCCAAGTTAGCTCCAGGCTCTGCAGCTGGGGGCTGTGGAACTTTCCTGCAAATTGGATCAGTTCACTGTCCTTTCAGGCACTAAGGATCCCAGAGGGGGCCTCCCCTCCTGCAGCCCCTCCCTGATGCCGACTAGATGTGCTTTTCGCAGATTTCCTCAGACCCTCTCTTCAGCCTCTATTCCCTGTGGCAATTGGAAGGCTACGGGGTTGGTGAAGGGATGGCCGGCTCCTGGGTGTCGTTATAGGAGCAGGGAGTCGGGAAGGGAATGTCGAGGAAGAAGGGAGTCTGTATTTAGTCTACGTGCTGCTTGGCTACCCTCTCCGATTCCTCACCCTCCAGCCTCCTCCAGAACTGTGAGCTGCAGGTCTCTGCACCACAGCCTGGCGTCCCCAGGCAGGACTCTTTCCTGGAGCACTGGGTGCTGCTGGGTGTCAAGAATTATGTGTGTGTGTGTGTGTGTTTGTGGGTATGCATGGATGAGCGTCACTCGTCCCTTGGGTGAACTACCCCCTTACTGTCTACCGCTTCTCCACTCTTCACACAATATCCTTGGGGGAAGAGGGACATATTGAGACAAGATAGAATAAAATGAGTCCACCCGCCCCCACTGGATTTGGGGGCTCTGACGGCTGGTCCGTGCTTTAAGAGAGAAGTCTATGCTAATGCTGGGGCCCCTCTGGGGAGATCTGTCTCCAAGGCCTGGGAAAACCCAATGTGCTGGGTCCCATCCTTCTTAGTTCCATGAGGAAAGCAGGAGGTGGGTAAGAGCTTCCCTTGGCCCCTTCTCCACCTGCCTCCCCACCCTGCTCTGAGTTTATGAGTGTGTTCCTTGCCAGTCTCCCTCTTTCCAGGGTCTGTGGCGCTCTCCCTAAGGAGGCCGCCTTCTTGCCTGGGTGAAAAGTACTGAGTGGGTTATTTCTCACCTCACCATCAGGATGGGACCCCTTGGCCTCTCCTGCTGGGCTGGGGGTGGGGCGGTGCTGGGCACGGTGCAGCAGGGCTGAGGGCCTGACTTCACGCTACCAGCGAGGCCTCAAGGACAAAATTGATGGTGGGCCTTTGTGAGCTGGGGGCAGGGGTGTGTATATTCCAGGCTTTGTTCTTGGAGGACTCCGGACAGGATGTGAAGGACAAGATTTGCGCCACGGAGGCAGGAAGAGCTTAGCTTGGTGTAAATGGAGAGCTTGACCACCCCTGGGATGGCACCAGCTCTGGGAGCAGAGGAAGGAGGAGAGAGGAAGAGGCCCACCTCCGCTCAGTCTCCTCCTCACAGGCCAGAATCTTCCACAGACTCCCTTTCTCAGCCCAGGGCCCCCCTCAAAGCATGCAGTTAAAGCTGGAGAAGCTTCAAGAAGGGAAGAGGGCGCCCTTCTGAGGCCCCCCACGGTGACCCCCGAGACCTCTTGCCTGGAACTCATCAGTGGCCCTGGACAGAGGGTGGAGGCTCCCTCGTCCCCTACAAGCCCCTTCTTTGGAACGTCTCTGCTACTTTTCTTCTGACCCTGTTAGTCACTGTGGTTCATTCAATAAATCTGTTTTGTGTAACTATCGTGTCCAAAGCCTCTTCCCACACAAGTGTCTAGGGACAAGGAAAGGCGCCCCGGTTTGCAAATGTCTCAGTGGGAGGTGGTGTGGGCTGAGGGAGACGGGAGGAAAGTAGGAGCTAACGGGAGTCAGGTGGGAAACTGGAAAGGGAGTGGGGGAGGCGAGCAGAACAGGGAGCAATAGACACAGGGCAGGGCACAGGTGGGGAGCGAGACCAGGGGAAGCACAGGAAATAAGGGCGGGGCGCGGGGAGCAGCTCAGGCTTCGTGCTCTGAAAACCTGTGGGACAAATGGGCACACATCTTAGAGTCCAGAGTACAGGCCTGTAGGAAAATGCTGGCATTCATTCATTCACTCATTCACTCATTCATTGTCCCGTGAGCATCCACTCAGATTAGAGGTTTGGGTGCCTGGCCTGCAATCAGTCACTCCGGATGTCTGCAAATACCCATTCCCAAGCAGCACCCCAGACCTAAGGAATGTGAATCTCCTGGACTCACCCTGGGTGTTCACAACTGCTAAAAGCTCCTCAGATGATTTTTGGGGGAGGCCAGGTTTGGGGATGTCCCCATCCACACAGATTCTGTGGGCAAATGAAGGTGGGCACAAAAGACCAGTGAGTCAGAGACAGAGGAAACGGCGCTCTGGGTGGGTGTTGATTTGGAGGCAGAAGAGTCTGAAACCATCCTTGGGGTGGGGGGAACACTCAGTCCAGAGGTATTTATCATCTCCCGTGAGGATTTCAGGTACTAACAGCGTCTGCAGATGACACAGAAGCAACCACTGCAGTAGAATGGATTGGAACGAGAGAGCCCACGGTTACTGTGATTCCCCACGGTGTGTGCTAAGCACGTCTAAACATTATCTCATTCAATCCTTGCAATGCTCTGAATGGGGTCTCTTCAGCTCAGTTTGCTGATAAGGAAGCCAAGGCTCGGAGAGGTTAGTCATGTACCTCGAGCAGGGTTATACAACCAGTATGTGGAAGAATGAGGCCTGGGACAACTGAGTCTGTCCACTTGCAAAGCCCACGCTCTCAGCCACTGTCTGTCCCAAAGCACAAGTGTGGGAGAGCCAGGTAGTCGGGAGGGGAGTGAGGCCTCGTCTGTAAGGCGCTGGCACACAGGGCGGGGCGGGGGGGGCGGGGTGGTGTGCTCAGTGCACAAGGACCTGGTCAGGATGAGGATGAGGAGGGGAGGGGAATGGTGGGGAATGCATGAGAGAGACAGACAGAGAGAGACAGAGATCGAGACAGAGAGATAGAGAGATAGATCGAGAAAGAGACAGAGAGACAGAGAGAGATAGGGACAAAGAGAGAGATAGAGATGGAAAAAGAGACAGAGAGACAGAGACAAAGAGACAGAGACAGAGACAGAGAAAGAGAGACAAAGAGAGAGAGACAGAGACAGAGAGATAGACTGAGAAAGAGACAGACAGAGATAAGGACAGAGAAAGAGAGAGACAGAGAGAGATAAACAGAGAGATAGAGAGAGACAGACAAAGAGATAGAGACAGAGAAAGAAAGAGACAGAGATGGAAAAAGAGACAGAGACAGAGAAAGAGACGGAGACAGAGAGACAGAGAGATAGATCAAGAAAGAGACAGAGAGACAGAGAGATAGGGACAAAGAGAGATAGAGATGGAAAAAGAGACAGAGAGACAGAGGCAGAGAGACAAAGAGACAGAGACAGAGAAAGAGAGACAAAGAAAGAGACAGAGAGATAGACTGAGAAAGAGACAGAGAGACAGAGAGAGATAGGGACAGAGAAAGAGAGAGATAGAGACAGAGAGAGATAGACAGAGAGATAGAGAGAGACAGACAAAGAGATAGAGACAGAGAGAGAGACAGAGATGGAAAAAGAGACAGAGAGACAGAGACAGAGAAAGAGACGGAGACAGAGAGACAGAGAAGAGAGAGAGTGCGGGGAGAGACAGACACAGAGAATGTGGAGAGAAATACAGAGAGTGAGGGGGCAGTGGGTAGCAGGGCAGTGGGGGCCAGGGAGGGAGCTGGAGGACAGGGGGTCAGTACTTGTTTTCAGTCTTTGGAAGCATACCAGGAAAACCCGGCAGGAACTTACAACTGCAACAACAAGCCATTTGAGCTTTTTTTTTTTTAACAGCTGCTGTAAAAAAACCCCTCACCAATCCTTCAGGGAAATTTGAGGTAAGTTATCCAAAAAACTAAGATTGCAGAGCAGTTAATAATTCATTTGTCCACACATTTCTTCGTTTCTTCACTCACTCACCCACTGTGGTTATTCATCCAGTCCTTATTTACTACTTCGGTGCCAAAGAGCATGGGGGGCACAGGATCAAATGGTGAACGGGACCCAGTGGGCTGGCGGAAACCGTGAGAGGGGCGATAATAATCAGCAAGCTGTAAGGCAGGAGCACAGAAGGTGCTTGGAGGGCCTAATGGAGACAATGGAATGAGTCCAGGCAGGGTGTCAGAGCAGACCTCAGAGAGCGTGCCTGTGGTGTGGGGAGGGGGGTGGTCGTGGAAGGCTCTGTGCAGAGGAGTTACCCAGAGAAGAGAAGGAGCACAGCCCCTATGAGGAACTGGAATGCCCCTCATCTGTGCTTTCTGCCACCCCCACCAGCTCTGGGAGGGGAGCCAGGCAGAGACACCGAGACAAACTTGCCCAGGTCTCAAAGAGTGGATGACAGCAGATTGAGGCCTGGGACTATGGTCCAGGTCTCTAGACAACTTGGGGGCCAGGGATTATTTTAGGGGATGACTTCCTGTGCCTGGGCTTGAGCTGTTTTCCTTAAAGATACATACCAGGGTCTCCTAGAAGAGGCTGGGGGTTCTGGTCCCCTCACAGTGTGCTTGTTGGAGGAAGATGCTAAAAGAGGCTAATGGGTCCCTTGGGAAGACCACCCCCAGAAACCAGGATGGCACGGCCTGACAGGACCTAGATGTGACGTCTGCCTTTCTCAGATGGTACCCCTCTGTCTGAACTCCAAGCAGTTGGAAGCTTGCAGGGCCTGATGCAACTGATGCAGCTCTTGTGAATTATTGCCCAAATGCTTAGAAAGTCCTTGTGAGCAATGTTGGAGACAATTACAAGGGAAGCTTAAAATCAAGCTGACAGTAAAGGAGATTCAGAGACCTTGGGCTGACTGGTTATAGCGAGATTGCGAGAGTCTCAAGCAAGGGTCATGGATTTTTTTCACTCAACAAACTTTTTGTTCAGTGCCTACTATGTGCCTGGACTGTCTTAGAAGCTGGAGATACTGACATGAACCTGACATCATCCCTGCCTTCATGGAGCAACATGGAGAGCCTTATCTTCCCATTGAATAGGTGGGGATAAGGTCTATGAAGGGTGAGGATTTATACACAGTCAGACAGTGGGAAAATGGGAGAGGTGGGACTAGAACTCATGCTTCCCACTATCATGCAAGAGCATGTCTCATGGCTCCAAGTTTAGAAAAGAGAGAATGTCTTTCATCAAGAATATGAAGAGCATGGGGCACCTGGGTGGCTCAGTTAGTTAAGCATCTGCCTTCGGCTCAGATCATGATCCCAGGGTCCTGGTTTCGAGCCCCCAGTTGAGCTCCCTGCTCAGTGGAGAGCCTGCTTCTCTCTCTCCCTCTACCCTTCCTCACCATCCCCCCGCCCCCGCCGTGTTCTCTCTCACTCTCTATCTCAAATAAATAAATAAAATCTTTAAAAAAATCTTAAAAAAAAAAAAGAATATGAAGAGCAAGTGGAGAGGGTCAGAAAAATGATGGACTACCAGCCACGCAGGGAGAGGGCACAAAGGTGCTTGAGGATGATTATCCACATTTCTGTTACTACACCTTTTATTTTAGATTTACAGAAAAATTGCTAATCTAATACAGAGTGTTCCCATATATTCCACATCCAGTTTCCTTTATTGTTAACATCTTACATAGCATGACACTTTTGTCTCCATTAATGAACCAATATTGATACATTACTATTAACTAAGTGCCTATTTTGTTCAGATTCCTTCACTTTTTACCCAATGTCGTTTTTCTGTTCTGAGGACCCCACCCAGGATGCCTCATTACATTTAGCCATTATGTCTCCTGAGCCTCCTCTTGGCTGTGACAGTTTCTCAGACTTTGTTTTTGATAACCCTGACAGTTTTGAGGAATACAAAATATATTTTGTATTATATATTTACATATGTAAATATGTATTTATTTTATATTATATATACTTTGCTCCATGTGCTTTTTAAAAGAATATATTTTTATTTCCATACACCAGGCACATGCCAGATGATAAGGAGAGAGCAATAAATAATGTACGAGGGATTCTGGCTCTGTTGGAGTTTAAGGGGGAATAATAGCAGCATTGTGGGGGATAGACAGGATGCTGTGGAGGCACACGGCCATATTCTGGTGCGCACCACAGGGCAATCACAGGCAGGGCTTGGGTACTGGCTGAAGTCACAGGTTCTTCTCTGGGTTTATTAAATGTCTGGCATTTTCTCCCACCTCCAAAGCCACCCCAGGCTTATTTTCTTGCCTGAATAACTGCAAACCTGGCGATATGAGACAATATTTGTGTTCAATGGATATCTTGCCCTATGTCATTTTGTACTTTATTATTTAGCCATGTGGCACATCTCTTGCCTACTCAAGGCTGCCTCCTATGTGGACAGAGGATAATCAGAAATGGATTCCCCAAACCTGCTTGAACTACCTTACTTGGCCAGCGTGCCGTTCCTCCTCTTCATGTCCCCCAAGCACTGGGACTTGGTGTCACAGCTCTGTGTGCTGGTCTGTCTCCTCTGCCCTATGGGTAGCTATTCTAAGGCAGGGGCTGTGTTTACACATCTCTGTATGCCCACTGCCTGGAATGTGGTGGGTGCTCAAAGGGTATTTGTTGAAACAATTGAATAACCCGATAAAGAAAGGGCAGGAAGAAAGGTGAGAAAAACTGATTTTTGCTTGATCAATTGATTGCTTTTAAAGGAGCCCAGAAAGACTAAGTTAGAGACTGGTGCCAGAAGAGATGA